ATTTCTTTAGACATTTAAGAACATAATGGCTATTAAAATTGCACGTAGAATTCTTTAGTTTTATTTATTTATTTTTATTTATTTATTTATTTATTTATTTTGAGGCAGAGTTTCGCTCTTGTTACCCAGGCTGGAGTGCAATGGCGCGATCTCGGCTCACCGCAACCTCCGCCTCCTGGGTTCAGGCAATTCTCCTGCCTCAGCCTCCTGAGTAGCTGGGATTACAGGCACGCGCCACCACGCCCAGCTAATTTTTTTTTTGTATTTTTAGTAGAGACGGGGTTTCACCATGTTGACCAGGATGGTCTCGATCTCTTGACCTCGTGATCCACCCGCCTCGGCCTCCCAAAGTGCTGGGATTACAGGCTTGAGCCACCGCGCCTGGCCTGCTTATTGTTAAGTATTATGTAAATAGCTTCTTTGTGTTGGGACTGTGCTGAATAATGGAGGTAGAAAATTAGACATGATTTTTATTATCAAGTATTTCAAAATTTATATAACTGCTTGAATATGTGACTTCGAAAGCATTCTATTCTCTGTGATTTATCATTATGCATTAGAGGTCAAAGTCATTTATAGAGTTTTCTCTAATGAAAATGGGCTATTCTTTGATGTGCATAGAGTTTGTGTACAATCCAGTGTGGCTCAGAAGAATGAAATGTATAAAAATCCAAGGTCAGCTGCTATAGCCTGTATGGCTTTTTGGTAATTATTTAACATCTCATATGGTATAGCCTTAGTGTCCTTGCATAAAAGATACATACATAGTGCTATGAGTCACGGTTGGCACATACAGTGTACTCAGTGAAACACATGCACATGTGTACGCACATGCACATACACACCCACAGTCTATAAAATGTATGTTCAGTACATATTTATTGAATCATTTGATGTTTTTAAAAGTAAATCCTAATTTGGATGTAGCTACTCATGCTTGATTTTCCAGTTTTTCCTTATGATCAAATGGCATGTATCTGTGAGGTAGCTGTGGGTTAGGACTGCAAACCAGGTCCTTAAACTATAGTAGTGCCTATTAAGGTGCTCAAACCACAAGGTGGTCTCATTGGCAACAGAAGCCATATTATTTAGATGGTTATTACAACCTATGCTACAAAATTCACATAGAGTAAGCAAACAAAATCAACTTGTAAATAGAAAGCAGGAAAGCCTTTGAAATTATAGTTGTATGTCTAAAAGCTAAAAAAATAATAAAGAAAGGAGAAAAATGTTAATTGGAAAATTTTCCAGTTGATCAAACTCTTTTATTTATACAGAATAATGAATTGGTAATGAAAAAATCCGCTGTCTTTAAAGATAAAGGCAAATAAGCAATTTCCTTGATAGGATATTAAATCTTTGAAGAGATCAGGTGAAAATACAACATTTCAATGCAATATTGAATCAGATAAAGTCAAAAATTTTCATTACTCTTTTCTCATAGGGACTGTTATCTTGTGGAGCCTGGGCTTGCTTTGATGAGTTTAACAGAATTGATTTGGAAGTACTTTCTGTGGTTGCTCAACAAATCCTTACTATCCAAAGAGGTAATGGACTAGTTTGTCTTTGCATTATGTGAAAATAAAAGAAATATGGGAGGTAATCAATGGCACAGCTCACATTCATATATGGTATTACTAAGTCATTTCATTCCTGATTACCTGCAGGTATTAATGCCGGTGCTGACATACTGATGTTTGAAGGAACTGAACTAAAACTTGACCCCACATGTGCTGTCTTTATAACAATGAACCCTGGGTATGCCGGGCGATCAGAACTGCCAGATAACCTGAAGGTATGGAGGGAGTAGTTATGTAATCTATTTCCTTTCTGTAATTTATAAAGTTAATATATGAAAAGGGCTGGGCATGCTGGCTCACACCTATAATCCTAGCCCTTTGAGAGGACGAGGTGGGAGGATCACTTGAACTCAGGCGTTTGAGACCAGCCTGGGCATAGTGAGACCTTGTCTTTTAACAAAAAAGAAAGAAAAAATATTTTAAAAGTGTGCATGTCTGTGTGTGTGTGTAAGTGTAAAGAATATGCTGTCCTTGAGTTTATGTAAAATATTTTTTAGCTATTAAAATATTTTAGAAAATTATTTTAGAAAATAATTTTTAAAGCTTTGCTTATCTTTACAAAGTATATACACACCAGGAGCAATTTCCAAAATACTTATTTTTAAAATAGTGCTAATTATGAAAAATTTAAAAATATACTAAGGATGTACCCACTCTACTCCTTACTATATACTGTATCCTGCTAATTTTAAGAGCCTCTTTCACAATGTTGGAAGCACACTATTGTGTATGCTGGGTGGGTTTTTTTCATGTTAATATTATGGCATGAGCTTGTTCCCATCTTTATAAGCATAATTCAAAGTGTTAGTGAATTTACTGAACTGTATCTTACTTTTGGACATTCAGTTAGCCTTCAGTTTTCTTGCATTATAAATAAAATCACAATGAATAGTTTTTACTGAAGGCTTTTCTCTACTTTGAAATATTTCTTTAATGGAGTCATAGGACTAAGATATATGTTGCTAAATTGTGCTCCAAGACAGGTTGAAATGATTTTCATCCCAGTTTTCATTGACACCCAGCATTAATTTTTTTAATGAGAAAGAACAAAACAGTTTCTTGAATTGACCAGACTTTACTTTAAAAAAAAAAAAAGTTTTCTTTATTAGTAAAATATGAAATTTTCCCCATTTTTTTGCCATTTTATATCCTTTTCTGATGAATTGCAAATTTATGGCACATATACAGAGAGCAATGTTGAGGAATAATGCAGTAATATTGTGGATCCAAAACCAAATATCCTGACTAAATCCTACATTATGTCCACATATCACATGCTTCCCAGTCTAAATAAGCAGTTTTTCTTTTCCACACACACACACACACAAAAACCATGATATGACTAATTGCTGCCAAGTGTTTTTATATTTCCATTTCATGCCCCTTTATATGTTAAGTCTTATGTTTTAGTATTTTGCCTTAGTGAAGAAAGACTTGATTAACAAATGAAAAATGATAAATCCTCTTCTATCTAAGAAGCATTTTACAAGTTTTCTTTGGGATTTTCTTTTGGAAAGTTTTTTTGGTAGAAGTTCTTTTATTTGTTCACAATGTTATTCTTTTAGGTAGGATCAATCTGAATACATAAATTTGCAAAGGTAGGAAAGGCAAATATCTGTGAGTAGCTTGTTATAGAAAGCTGGGAGCCATTATTGGTTGAATGTATTCATACCCTCTGCAGACTTTTCCACAGTTTTATTTACTGTGCAAGTTGAAACATTGCTAAGATATTCACCTGGTAGTTCTTGGCACTAATGTATTTTCTTTCTACATGAGGCCAAAATCTGTTCTCAGATTCTGATAATTTTTCCTATTGTGCAGCCTTCTTAGTTCAAGCTTCTACAAAGCATCTGTTTTCAGGTATCTGTGGAAATACCTAACAAGACTGAAATGAAAGCATTGCATATTCCTAAAAAAACATAATAATAATAATAGCCTGATGGAGTCCAGAAAGTATCATTACCAGTCTTCAGAATCATTCTCAAAAACTCCCTCTTCTTTAGCACATGATTCAGTCACCAAGCCCAAGGTTTCTGTTTCACATAAACCCTATAATCCCTGCTGTACTGGCCTGGTCCCCCTGCCACACCTTGCTGCTCCCTGCCTCTGTCTTCTCCTGTGAGTCTTGTTGCAATAGTTTGCTTGTCATCAATTTCTTCTCTATTGAAAATCACTATAATGAATTCCCCATTACAGTGCTATCATTGTTATCTATCAAAAGAAATCTAATCATATAATCTTCAACTTTAAAAAACTGCTGGGCTCTTCTTCTTTGCCCATGGGCTAAAGTTCAGATTTCTTAGTACAGTCTACAAGAGCCTTGGCATGAGGACTCAGTTGCATCTGTCCTGCCATTTCCCTGTATCTGTCTGTTAAACTGGGCCACACTAGCCTCTGGGAGTCCCTTGCTTTTCTGCATGCTGTTTTCTTTCTCTCAAGTGGCCTGCTAGGCCACCACTTTCCTGTCTGACAAATTCATACTCATCCTTTAAACTAGCAGAGAACACTACACGTACACAGTTCATATCTGACCTCCTGGGTGAACTCCCTGGACTTGGCTGAGGTTTATAGCTGGATCCTATCATGTGCATGTCCACGGGTTCTTCAGAAACTCCTCCATTAGTTATCTCTACTTGTAATTCTTCAGGGACTCCTCCATTAAGTATCTCTACTTGTAATTTCTGAGGTTTCAGTGATGGATTCTGTTTCTCCAGTTGTCATTGCCCTCTCTCTGCCTAGATCTCTGTTGTGAATTCTGTGTAAACTTCGCTGTTGAAGAGCTCTCACTCTGCCAGGAGGGTATGTAGGGCAGGACTTAAATAGCTTCAGTGTGGCCCTTCTTTGTCGTGTACCACTCATAAATCCTTTGTCCCAGCAAACCATGGGTATTAATTCTGCTACCACAGATCACTATCCTTTTTCAGTCATTAGTCAGGCTCCAGTCCATATCTCCCAAAATGCAGGAATAGCTACCAAGCTCTCATGAAACTTGAATGTAGTGAGGAGGTTTATGGGAACTCAGCAAAACAACAGCTCCCTTCAAAGGAAATATTTTCACAACTCCTTCCTCTTTCTTTTCTCTCTCAAATATTTTGTGCTATACAAGTAGATGAGAGGGTTCAAGGTTGTAGACATTTCTCTTGTAAATTTTGTGCATTGAAATGATTGTACTCGCATTAGTAACTGATGTATCATATCATGCAGAAAGAGTCCCATTTTGACATCCCGTTACATTTAGACAAAACCTACATAATAAAGCAATTTCTTAAATACATCTTCACTTTAGAGAAGCTGTACTTTAGATTTAAACTATTCTGAAGAATTAGTACTTAATGATCATTTTAGAATAGTTTGTTAGAAGCCATGGCAAAATAGACACATTCTAGATCTCCTAATGTCACAGAGCCAATACAGTGATACATAGCTTTCCAGAGGATATGTAGGATGAAACACTAATAGTATTGAGGGAAAAAAAAAACAAAATAGATCCTAAATCATCCATTTCATTCGATTAAAATAAAGCTTGTTCCTGAACAGATCAAAATATTTTTAAAAATCAATTCGCAGTCTCTTAAAAATAAATGGTAAGAAGTTATTGCTTTAATTTTTTTATTGTACCAACAAGCAGTCTTTTGAAAGCATGCTCCAGGAAGTTTATACATTTCCTTATGTACTACCCTCCTTCTTCGATCAATAGAGCAGAAGCAACAGAAAAACTATTCTTGATCATTTATTTTTGCTGAGATAAACATGAAGATTATATTCACATGTATTACATGCACTGGAATTGACTCAAGTCTTGACATGTACCCTGTTTGTTTTCACACTCGGCAAACTATATCATTGGTTAAGCTAGAATCCAATTTAATTTTTTTTGACAAAGCACTAAATTATCTTCAAACTTACTACTATTACCAACAAATTATTTCTGGTACATCAAAAATCAAACCACATTATATCTGTATGTTGTACAACCTGTTTGAGAATCACTGATTTAGGCTTGAAAAAATGTTTCGATCAGGTTGCTTTTCATTGTGTTAAGTATTATTGTTTAATAGTTGGTAGAGGATGCCTAATAAATGGAATATCATGATACTCCTTGACACTTCTTTACTTCACTTTATTTTTTGTTCTGTTAGTCAGAAATATGTCTGCTTCATCATTTTCACAATCATATTGCTAACAGTGCTAAGAGGTGAATAGGATATTTGTGAAATACCTAGGATGGTCAGAGGGAAACCCACAACACACAGTCCTGGTTGTTGACCCCAAACTAGTAGTAATTTGTGCTATTGTAGAAAGACTATCACTCTATCCTAGCCATTGACTGGCTGACCGATTTGCTAATTCAGTCATTCTCTCTTTTATTCATTAAAAAAGCAGTTGTTGAGAACATACCCCTTTAAAGAGATACCACCTGTGTAGCAATTCTCATGCTTTTTTTCCATCACGTGTGGAGTAGTTAGAACATTTATTTGCTTAAGCTTTTCGATTTCAAGTTATTTGCTCGAGTTATATTTTTTTAAACATTTTACTCTTTCCATTCTCTAACGGTAACCTTACTGACAAAATAGTGGCACTAAGGCCTCTAACTACTAACTGACACAACACATTAGAAGAATCTTACTTGATATAAATCTTCGATCTGTTCTCAGCTTGGAAGAGTCATAATAGATCATTTAAGCAAGACGTTTTATTTTCTATTTACTTTGAGTTTTTGGTAATTCAACTAATTCCCAGAATGCATTTATGAACTATCTGACTATGATTGTCAATCACTAGAAGAGGTTCTTTTTTCCCCTAGAATACTATTGTTTTACATATTTTGCACAAGAAAGTCATGTTTTAATACATGAGCTATTGAAGTGGGTCCTCATACATACTAATACTCTACACCTAAATTTTCTTACTTATTCTTTTAAAATATATGGTTTTCTATTTGCTTACCATCATATAACATCATATAACCTCAGTATTTTAAATGAGAAAATGTTATCTTTACAATTTCTAAAATTGATTTATCTCTAATAATTATTACTTATTTCTAGTTTTCTTTGTTATGCTTGCTAAAAGACTGACATTGTGACTTCAGATTCAAAAAAGTTAAGCGTATCTCAAAATGGATCATTTATCTAACACTAACATAATCGTGTTATTAGAGCTTACCTGGTAAATCCTAGATTATATAATTAAGTAGACCCTGTACAACCTCCCTTGAAGCCCAGTCTCCCAACACGAAGACACTCAGCAGTCCAGATGAGAAACCCAGCTTTTGAACATCCTGGGAGAGTCTGAGGTTCTGTAACATGTTGCTTCCCATGAGGAATATAATGTAATTGAAATTGAACACATAGATGAAAAAGAATTGATACAAAAAGCTAATGATATATTTACTATATAACCACAACTGGAAATTTATTTTTAAAGTTGCTTTTTATTTATATGATTTGAACATTAAAATTTATTTTTTCAGAAGACAGAAATTCATCTATTTACTTTTTAAACTTCCGGGTCAACGATTTTTTTATTGAGTTGTGATTGACAAACATCACACATATTTAAGGTATATAATGTGATGTTTTGATATACATATACATTGCGTAACAGTATCACTAATCAAGCTAATCAACTTATCCACCACCTCACATATATACTTCTCCTGTTTTCTGTTAGTAACACTTATGATCTACTCTCTTAGCAAATTTCAAGAATATAATACATTATTATTAATAGAATATGAACATTAAAATTTAATACTATTGTAGAAAATGTATAAAGCCATAACATGAAATAAAGAGCATGATTATCTTTATGATGGTCTTTTTATTTTAATTTTCTGACCTCTTTATTATTGCCTTTTAAATTTTTCTTAATTGACATATAATTATATATATTTATGGAGTAGAGAGTGATACTTTGATACATGTAAACCATGTATAATGATCAAATTAGGGTATAGTGTATCAACTCAAATATTTATCATTTCTTTGTGTTGGAAACATTCAAATTCTTCTCTTTTAGCTATTTAAAAATATAGAATAAATTATTTTTAACTATAATCACCTCACAGTGCTACAGAGCACTAGAATTTATTCTTTTATATACCTAAAATTTTGTATTTGTTAACCAGCCTCTCCTGATTGCCCCACCTCACCTTTCCCAGCCTCTAGTTACCACCATTTTATTCTTTACTTCTATGAGATAAACTTTTTTAGCTTCCACATATTAGTGAGAACCTGTGGTATTTATCTTTCCCAGCCTGGCTTATTTTACAATGATTCTTTAAAAAGTACCTTTTCTACATACCCATAGGCTCTCTTTCGGACGGTAGCAATGATGGTGCCTGACTATGCTATGATTGCTGAAATAGTCCTGTACTCCTGTGGGTTTGTTACTGCTCGGCCGCTGTCGGTAAAAATTGTGGCTACATATCGCTTGTGTTCAGAGCAGTTGTCATCTCAGCATCACTACGACTATGGAATGAGAGCCGTGAAGTCAGTGCTTACTGCTGCTGGGAATCTGAAGGTAGAGAACACAAATATTTCTTACTTGTCAATTTCCTGTTTGTAAATTTTCAGCCTAATGGGCCTTCACAGAGTTCTCGTAACTTGTTGGTTTCATTAATTGATTGAAAAAATCAATTTTTACACCAAAAATGTATTATTTTATACACATGAAAAATGAAATTTTATAATGATTTGTAAAATCTTACATATGTAATTCTTAGTGATTTGAGTTTTGTTTCATTAACAGGATACTACCAAGGAATAAAATTGCTTACTCCTGAGAAATGTTTTGAGTGCTCTCAGTCTATATAAACAAATACAGCATTAAAGGAAATAAGTATAATTAATAAATATACACAAAAGACCCTAAACATTGTATCTTATTATAATTACACAATTGCAGCCAACTGTGGACTAGCAGTAATAGATTTGTAGTATGATGTTTACCTTCAAAATGGTCTAAATTGAAACTGTAATATGTGAAAACCCAAATACTTTAAGCTTTGGTTGACTTTTCATTGTAAGTATTTTGTAGAACCATGAAATGTAACTGTACATTAGTTAGTTCTTTATGAAATCACGATAGGGTTTGCTTAGTAGCAGAATGCAAAATGTGACTTTGGAGTTTGCAAAATTTTCACATTCATGATTTGTAGAAGATACAGATTTTAAATTATATCCTATGTGATTAAGAACAATAGCATGCATTTTATATTCCATAGTAATGTTATCAAGAATTCTGATATATAGTGTTGATATTCTATTTCACATTAGCCTGACGTAACTTCAAGTCATTGTTTTTTGTAATAAAAGAGACTAGAAACAACAATTTGTATCACGTTGGCATGTCAGGATTAGACTGTGGTCAGATAAAGGGAACGATAATGCATTGTCCTAGTGTATGTCATCACTGAAATCTTGACTATGGAATTGAGCGATTAAAGTTACGCAGCAAATGAATCCTGCAAATGAATCCTATCATTCTTTGTTAAAGGTAATACAGATTGTCAATGTTTTGGCCTGAGTATTTTGAAGTTTGTTTCTATTATAGCAAGAAACAATTTGAACATTTGCTTCAAAATAACAGCCTCTCAAAGAACAAAAGAGACTTCTGACACTTCATAATTTATATGCAGTTAGATTGATTGAAAAACAAAATCCAGATGATCAGGACATGCTCTGAAATCAGAAGACTGATTCTTCCAGGCATCATATACTTTGTGAGGCTGAAGCTAATTAAGTAGGAACATGGCATTTATTAGGCAGAGAGATTCTAGAGAAAAGGGAGAGGGTTCTAGAAAATTATATGCATGGTGGTAGAAGAAGCTTTGGAGTGAGATGTTGATTAATGTATTAAAGTTGGAAGAAATAATTCTGAGATTGGATTTTTGTTAATTCATATGAACATTATTATAGGTATGAGTAACATATTCAGAGTTCAGCTAGACTTGTAAACTTTGGGTACACCATAAGTGTTTGGGAATTTAATGTGAGTTCTTTTTTTTAAATTAATTAATTAATTTTGAGACAGAGTCTTGCTCTGTTGCCATGCTGGAGCGCAATGAAACGATCTTGGCTCACTGCAACTTCCACCTCCCGGATTCAAGCGATTCTCCTGCCTCAGTCTCCCAAGGAGCTGGAACTGCAGGCGGGTGCTGCCACACCCAGCTAATTTTTGTATTTTTAGTAGAGACGGGGTTTCACCACATTGGCCAGGATGGTCTTGATCTCTTGACCATGTGATCCATCCATCTCAGCCTCCCAAAGTGCTGGGATAATAGGCATGAGCCACTGTGCCCAGCGGAGTTTCCTTAAGCACAATTTATTAAACTAACTTAGCAGATGACCAGCCCTCTCCACTCTCTCTGTGAATGAAACTTGCTAACACATGGCATTCTGGGCGTGCAGCCAGCAGCATCCTCTGCTCTGCCCTTCCACTTCGGCTTCTGTCAGATGAGCTGCATTCCTTACTCAGAGCTGGTTTGCTTGTTCTTGAACCTTTTTGAAGCCACTTGGACATGTTGCTGTTAGTATGTCATCTAACTGTGTGATGGGGAAACTGATGATACAAGCACAAAAAGAGGATTTTTTTTTCTGTGAAAACTAAATTCATGTTTAAGAAAGATTCAGTAAAGATGAAATGCTAAAATTTTGACTTTGACTAAGATGTGGATATGTGTGTAAAACTGAAGACAAATTTTAAAACTTATCAGGATGATATACTTAAATTGTATTACAATGATTTTTGAAGAGCATTAGCCCCTTTAAAAAACAAAAACAGAACACAGCAAGATAGAGTAGATGATGTGTTGTGGATGTAGCTTTTGGAAAAAGGTGGGGAGCTGGGGAGAGACAGCAAGGGGAGAGACACCAGATGTAGGTGATGGGGGGGAGGGCAGCAAATCACACTGCCACGTGTGTACCTATGCAACAATCTTGCATGTTCTTCACATGTACCCCAAAACCTAAAATGCAATAAAATAAATAAATGGGGAAAAAAAAGGTGCATAACTCTATGCTCAGACAAAAGGCCTTGGCATCAGAATATGGCAAATGAGTGAATGTTTATATGTTTTAAATTTTAATGCATCTTTCCAAAATGATTGCTCACTATTAGTAATTTTCATTTGACCAATCTACTGCTAGTTGTGAATACATACAAGAGAACAAGCAAGCTCTACCCAATACAAGGGACAGCAGCTGCCAAACTGTATTTAATTCATGTTAATATCTCTTTAGCATAGCTGTGAAAGGGAAATAGTTAAAATGTTTTTATTATAAACTAGTAAAAAAATGCAACAAGTTTAAATGTCAGTTTCTAAAATTAATAATCCAATATAATGAAAGAGCAACATTTTTGCATTTGTTTAAATTGTGTACAGTGTCTGTATGTATGTGTTTGAACACGAAGGGGGTGGGTGCTGTTAGCAGATGCAGATATCATCATGAGTGTGTTTTTTTTTTTAGCTGAAATATCCAAATGAAAATGAAGAAATTTTGCTGCTTAGGTCTATCATTGATGTAAATCTGCCAAAATTTTTATCCCATGATTTACCACTCTTTGAGGTAAGAAGATTCATTATCCCAGTGTATCAGAACTCTCATAATAATGAATTTATCAAACGTCTAAGGTTGTGAAGCTCCTACTATGGAAAACAACAACACAGTACAGAGAAACATGGATAATTCCATGTTTTATTTGAAGTATGGTTAGCTAGCTTTGTCACTTTGATAATTTTCAACAACTTGGGATTTTTAAATAGTACTTTAAAGTTTGTTACTGCAGAATATAATGAGCACACAAAAGTTACAAAATATTTGCTTATAAATTCCACTAGAATGTAGGCTCCATAAAGAAAAATAATTGACCTAACTCACCACTGAATCCCTAGCACAATATAGATATAGTAATGTCTGTTCAACATGGTAAATGTTGGGTCAACTGATGACTGAAGAAATAAAATATATAAATATGTTAATTTCCTTAAAAGAATGAGATGACTTTTATGAAATTTTCATGATAACATAAGAACTAAGCTTTATCTTGTTATAATTTAAGATAAGGTTATGGTTAATTGAGAGTAAGTATTAAAATAATGGTTAAAGTTTTCATAATATTATTCGGTGTCATTCTTTTCCTCTTCCCCATACCAGGTAGAAGTCAGAAGGGTAATGAGGTCCTTCTAAATCTTAGATGTTGGACTAATTTGCCCTGTCTTGAAATTCAGGCAGTTTGCTTGCAGTATGCTACATATTTCCAGATTCAGGGGTCTAGTTTCATTCTTCTGCGTATAGTTATCTAGTTTTCCCAGCACTGAAGATACTGTTATGTCATGGGGAAGGGAAGAGGAGATGCTGATGCTAGTATTGTCCAGTGTCATTGGCTACTGATGGCAAACATGTCTCATCATTCTGAAAAGAGCTGTACTTAATATTTGTGTTGAGCTTTACTTAGTATTTAGAGTTAACATGTAGGTATATTACGGAGCAAATCAACAAGGAAAGAGTTCAAATTTTCTCCCTAAAGTTTTCCCTCTATTTGTTCAGTACTAGTGCACTAAACATTTTCTAGGAGTAAAAGCTACATTTATTTTCAGAATATGGAAATACACTTTGCTAGATGTGTTGTCATGCAGTCATATATTAATTCAGTGAGCATGTATTAAGCAGTGTTTCTCAACTGGAGCATAAATTAGCATTTCCAGTTGGGACCATTTCTTTATTACATTTTTTTTTTTTTTTTTGCAAGGCTGCCCCATGCGTGCAGGGCATTTGGAATCCCTTCCCCTACTTTCCCGATGACCTGTGCAGATACCTAAAGACGTCTTTCATAGTGGCAAGCAGAAGAATGCCTTTACATATTTTAAACTCTCTACATGGTAGGAGAGTGAGGGAGTGAGGGGTCCTGGTCTTGTGTGAGAGCTCTGATATGGCAAATATGTTCTGGGGTTGTCTGCTGCTTTCAGGGTTATATATAAACCATTTAAACAATCTGAAAAGAGATTTTGGTTAATTAACAAATGCTATGCCCCTAATATGGACCAGGTACCATTCTGAGTGCTTTACAAATTGTAATTTATTTAATGTTCCAAATGACCCAGTGGGGTAGGTGCTATCATTATTTCTGTTTTATAGATGATGTAGCTAAGGCACAAAGATGATAAGTCAATTATATTCATGGCAAACACACAAGGGAGCTGGGATTCTAACCCAGAGAGCTGTTAGCCACTCTGCTGCATTGCCTTTTTGTCTCCTTTGCCCCAAGGAAACTTACTGCTTTGATAAACTGGGATAAATTTCTTCATAAGAGCATTTAAAGAATTAAATGTAGGGGTAATTAAACTGGTAACGCATAAATTCTAAAGTACGACTTGAGTATATGCTTTCACATTAAGCACTTCTAAAATTTCACTTTTACCTTCAGACTAAAAAGAATCATCATTTCTAATATAAGTTGCAATAATATTTATAAAGTAACCTTACCAGTTTATAAAGGTAAGCTCTTTAAACCTTGCAATTAACTTTATATATTCATATATACTAAATACAAAGTTATAATCCTTTCCAAGTATACATTATATGATTGTACTAGTAGTGTCCTAAGTTTACCATTAAAAGTATCACAAACTTAAGGCATAAGACAGCTTATTTATTCTCTCGCAGTTCTGGAAGCTAGAAGTCCAAAATCAAAGTGTGAGGAGGCCATGCTCCCTCTGAAGGCTCTAGCAAAGAATCCTTCCTTGCTCCTTCCTAGCTTCTGGTGGCTCCCTGAAATCTTGGATATTGGTTGGCTTGTACCTGCTTCACTGCACTCTCCACCTCCATCATCACATGGCTGTCTTTCCTCTGTCTCTCTGTGTCTCTGTATCTGAACCTCCCTTTCCTTTTGCTTATACAGACGCCAGGTACTGGGTTTAGAGTCCACCCTAATCCAGAATGACATCATCTTAACTAATTACAATTGTAAAGACCCTATTTTCACATGAGGTCACAGTCAGAGGTTCTGGGTAGACAAGAAATTTTGGGGAACAGTGTTCAACTCACTATAATATATTCACTAAACTACTTTTGAACTAATTTTTATATATGCTTGGGGTGTGGATTAAAGTTAATGATTTTGTCATGGCTAGTTACTCTAGTATCATTTGCTGAAAAGACCCTTTTCCACTGAGAATTGCCTTTGCGTCTTTATTGAGAATCAGTTTATACATGTATAGATCTATTTCTGGACTCTCTATTCTATTCCTTTGATACATTTGTTATCTTTACGCCCGTACAACACTGTGTTTAAAATAAACCTTGAAACCAGAGAGTTAGTGTTAGGTTTCCAACTATTTTATTTATTTTTTTACCTGTGTGTTTTTACTGATATGTAATAGATGTAAGTATTTTGGGGGTACATGTGATAATTTAATACATTCATGTAATTTGTAAAGATCAAATCAATATACTTGAACTGTCCACCTTAAATACTATTCATTATGCTAGAAACATTCAAATTATTCTCTTCTAGCTATTTTGAAAGGCACAATAGATTATTATTGTAAACTGTGGTCACCTTACTGATCTGTTGAACACTAGATCTTATTCTTCTATACTGCTGCATATTTGTATCCATTAGTCAACTTCTGTATTTCCTACCTTCTCCCTACCTTTCTTGCCTTTGATAACCACCAATCTACTCTGTCATCATGAGATCCACTTTGTTAGCATCCACATATGAGTGAGAACATGTGACATGTCTTTCTGTGCTTGACTTCACTTAACACAGTGACCTACCATTCCATTCATGTTGCTACAAATACAAAATTTCATTCTTTTTATGGCTTAGTAATATTCCATTGTGTATATATGCCACATATTGATTAGTGTTTTAGTTGATTCTATATTTTGGCTATTGTGAATACAGCTACAATAAACATGGGAGTGCAGATATCTCTTTGATACATTGATTTCCTTTTGTTGTATATATACCCAGTTGTGGAATTGCTGGATCATATGGAAATTCTATTTTTAGTATATTAAGGAACCTCCATACTGTTTTCCATAGTGGTTATATTAATTTAGATGCCTACTACAGTGTACAAGAGTTCCCCTTTCTCCACATTCTCACTAGCACTTATTACCTGTCTTTTTATAAAAGCCATTTTAATTGGGGTGAGATGATATCTCCTTGTGGCTTTGATTTGATTTTGTGTATAGTGAGATATAGGGGTCTAGTTTTACTCTTCTCCACATAGTTGTCCAGTTTTCTCAGCACCATTTATTGAAGTGACTATGTTTTTTCCATTGTGTTTTCTTGGTGTCATTGTCAAAGATAAATTGGCTGTAAATGCATGAATTTATATCTGGATTCTCTATTCTGTTCCATTGGTCTATGTGTCTGTTTTTATGTCAGTATTGTGCTCATTTGGTTGCAATAGCTTTGTAGTAAATTTTGAAGTCAGGTAGTGTGATGCCTTCAGCTTTGTTCTTTTTGCTCAGGATTGCTTTGGCTAATGGGGTTTTTGTGTGTGTGATTCCATATATATTTTAGAATTTTTTTCTATTTCTATGAAAAATGTCCCTGGAATTTTTATGAGGATTGCATTGAATCTATGAATTACTTTGAGTAAATTATCATTTTAACAGCATTAACTTTTCCAGGCTGGGTGTGGTGGCTCACACCTGTAATCCCAGCACTTTGGGAGGCTAGGGTGGCTGGGTCACCTGAGGTCAGGAGTTCTAGACCAGCCTGGCCAACATGGCAAAACCCTGTCTCTCCTAAAAATATAAAATTTAGCCAGGTGTAGTGATGTGTGCTTGTAGTCCCAGCTACTCAGAGGCTGAGGCAGGAGAAGCACTTGAACCCGGGTGGCGGAAGTTGCAGTGAGCCAGATCGCACCACTGCACTCCTTGGGTGACAGAGCAACACTCCATCTTGAAAACAAAAAACCAAAAATAAAAACAATAACACCAATATTCTTCCAGTCTATGAGCATGAAATATCTTTCCATTTTTTGTGTGTCCTCTTCAATTTCTTTCATGTAGTTTTCCTTGTATAGATGTTTGACTTTGGTTAAATTGATTCATTGGTATTTTATATTCCTTGTAGCTATTGTAGATGGGATTGCTTTCTTAATTTCTTCTATTCAGATTGTTTGCTGTTGGCATATATAAATGCTACAGATTTTTGTATGTTGATTTTGTATCCTGAAACTTTACAGAATTTATTTATCAGTTCTAACAGTTTTTCAGTGGAATCTTTAGGTTTTTCTAAATCTAAGATGTCATCTGTGAACAATGCTAATTTGACTTCTACCTTTCCAATTTGGATGCCTTTTCTTTCTTTTTTTTTTTCTTGGCCCAAATTCATTTATTAAGTCATGTATATATGTTTTTTATTGTACTTTAGGTTCTGGGGTACATGTACAGATCATGCAGGATTGTTGCATAGGTACATACATGGCAGGTGGTTTGCTGCCTTCATCCCCCCGTCAACTATATCTGCCTTTCTCCCCATGATATCCCTCCCCAACCTCCCCATTCCCCACAGAACCTCCCGTAGCCCCCACCAACAGACCCCAGTGTGTGATGCTGCCATCCCTGTGTCCATGTGTTCTGATTGTTCAACACCCACCTATGAGTGAGAACATGTGGTGTTTGATTTTCTATTATTGTGTCAGTTTGCTGAGAATAATGGTTTCCAGATTCATCCATCTCCCTACAAAGGATGGAAATTCATTGTTTTTTATGACTGCATAGTATTCCATAGTATATAAGTGCCACATTTTCCTTGTCCAGTCTATCATTGGACTGGACATTTGGGTTGGTTCCAGGTCTTTGCTATTGTAAACAGTGCTG